ATTACCTGCTGAGCTATCTACTCTGAAGCTAATCTTTTCTTCAGGCATGTGAAGTGGTGGGCAGCAATCAAGCTCTGTTAAACTACCACACCTCTCAACTTGGAGTTCCATGTGCCTCAAAGCTTCCCTCCATAAACATACCTTTCAGCTGGCTAAGGCTCAAGTTTCTCACCTTCCCTGGTCAAAGATCTAATGATAAGAATGACACCCACACAAACTGCCTGGGGACCAACAGTTGGTCCCAGTGCCAGATAAAAGCAATATTTATCTGCTTGAGGACCCCACCATGAAGTTCTAAAACCAAATATCTGTCCAGTCCCTTGCCTAGGTAAGCCTAACAAGGTAAGTGCAAATAACTGTAGAATTATAAAGTATAGAAAAAAAATAGAAGAACAGTGAAGACATCATCCACTTCCCTCATTTTATTGATGAAGAAGTGAAGGCTCTCAGGGCAGAAGCCACTTATTTCATAGCACAGAGCAAATCACAGGCAGCATCCAAACTAACAGTCACTAATATCCAACTGTTTTTGAGGTTGTCAAAATAATCATAGGGCACAGTCAAACTCACAGTGGAACTAAAGGGACCAAGGGACTAAAATGGGCCAAATGGATTCGTTTTAAAAGCAAAGCAGGACGGATATTGAGAAGTACAGCAGGCTCAATATTTGGAGGCAGAAACAAGAAGAGAGGTCCAGGAAGATATACACTGATGTGCTAATCATGTTTTGTCTGTGTGCGGTTCATTTTCTCCAGTTAATTGAATTTTCTACTTTTCTAAATAAATGTATATTGCTTTAAAAATAAAACCTGTTTGATTACTTTATGCTGTAACAAATCTAATGGAGGCAGTGTGGTTTAAGAGAAAAAGTATGGCGGAGTTGGAGGCCAGACAAATGGGAGTTCTGAAAACATTCTGCCAATCAATAGGAGTGAGACCTTGTGCATGTTACTGACCTATCTAAGCCTCTGCTCTTATATATGGCAATTTGACAATGGAAACCTTGCAAAAGTGTGACCTTTTAGAGCAAGAACACAGTACAGTGGCTCACACATAATAGGTACATAAGAAGCTAGAAAATAGCATTTGAACCATATTTGCATCTGTGGTTATATTCTAAATCATTAAATGATGCCCCTGCCCTTGCAAAGATGATGTCATTTCACTTCATGCTCCTGTCATATGTGGGTACAAGTATACACAGGGTAGCTGAGTGATGTTCTGGGTTCTGAAAGAGGATAAGCACAAACAGAAAGGAATAGCTTTTCCATCGTCCAATTCATCTCTTGAGTGTTTTGATTAACTGAAGCTGGATGTCAGCTACCAAGTGCAAGCAAGTAGTAACTACAATATGAATCAGGACAAGCTTTTTATTTATTTATTTTAAGAGAATGCTTTCATCAACAATAGTGAAAAGTTTCTGAGAGTGATACAGGGAACTCAACAGTGATTCTTCACTGCTCTCCAACAGGAGCTTCAAGGACACTGAAGGGTAGAAGTAACTCTGGACTGGGAATAAGCACCTATTCCTTTCCCAGCTCTGTAATTACATAGTTGTGATGAAAAGCGAGCCATTTCCCTCTATAAATCTTGGCTTCCCTTCTGTAGAATGAGACGTTTGAACCAGATGAATATCTGCTTTAAAATCCTCCAGCCCTTCTCCCACACACTCTCAAGGCCTCCTGTGGCCAGAGCCCAAACTCTTGCAGCACACGTCACCCTCTTCCCAGCACGCTCCATCTGCTCTGGCTGAACATCTCCAGGCTCACTCAGGGTTTCTCCTCTGCTTTGCTCTGCAGTGCTTATGGGGTGTTAGGTTCCCCCTTCCACTTACCCACTTCTTGCTGGCCTGGCAGACTCAACACAAGTCTCACCCACAGTAACAAGTTTTCTCTGACCATCTCTGTCTTTCTAACATTCCCATCCTCCTTTCAATTGTTGTTTAAGATGCCTTTATAACACTTTTTGGACTAAACTGAAAAACACATGGAAGGCAAGGCTCCAACTGTGAGACCACTGCCCTATACTGCATATCCTGAACCATCCCTTGCTCTTCTGAGGGAAAAGATATCACTATTATCTCCTAGAGCTGCTGGGAAGAATAAATAAGAGATAATGAGATAATGCCCAGCATTCAGACTAGAATAAATTAAGAACTCAAATGCTAATTTCCTTCTTTTCCTCCCTCTATGACTAGTAACTACTCTTCCCTACAAGGTGATCTCCCGAAAAATATATTCATTTGGGAGATGAAAATCTAGGATGAGCTACAATCTAAAAGGACCTTGGGTAAGTCATAACTTCCAGCAGTTTACATTATTTCAAATGAAAATAATGGTATTTGTTCTTATGTCTTACGACAGGATGATAAAGTGAGATAATACATGAGAAAGCACTTTCTTTTGAAGAGCTACCAGGATTATTATTTTTCATACATTCTAGTTTCTGAAAGAAAAATCTTAAAACAACACAATAGATAGCAAGATGTCAATGTTAACAGGTGATTCCAGGATGACTGTGAAAATCCAACTCTTGATACAGACTAGAAATATCAGAAAGTTGTATTACTGTTCCTCAGGGTAGAAAAGCAGAGATATTGAAAAGATTAGAAAGTCTTCTGTTTTGAATGCAGTCACCTGGGCCACTGGTGTATTTTCTAAGTCAAACAATATCAAACACACATGGGGAACTTTGTGGGCCTCAAAATCTGGACATTTGACAATGCTAACTCCAAGTTAATTAAAAGATTATGACAGTAACACTTTTTTTTCATTAATATTTTTTATATTTTAAAATGAATTTCATTTTAATTATCTCTTCTGCCTTGAAGCATGCTACAGTTAGAGGTGGCAAACAGAAAAAGTAGAGTCACCAAAATAAGGTGGAGCATTTTTGTATTACTAGAAAAACACCCATAGTACCAGTATATAATATAATACAATGTATGGATGAACTATTGTATATGGTAGGGATTAAAATATATCCATGAAGGGTCACCTCTATTAGTAAGTTATTTTTTGAAAATAATATGAGGAACAAGATTAGGGGAGAGTAAATTGGAGAAATCTGTTTTAGAAGAAGAACTTTTTTCCACAACAATGAAAAGGCACCCAACATTACTGATAACTAAATATATTTTAGAACTATCACTGAAAAGACTCTTTTTTTTCTTCCATTTCACAATGCAATCATTCAGGCAGATAAACAGAGGAGTGTCTGGTATAAATGAGAGAAAAAGTGTGTTTGGTATGCGCATGTATGTGTTGGGCCAGAGCAGAGATTTAATCGCATCATGCCTTTCTTTTAATGGTTTACTAAGTTTACTAAGTCAATTAAGAAACATCTATCCAAAACAGATCACCATTCTAACAAATCATATAAAAATGTATTATCTTTCTTTGTTAAACATTTAAGTACATTTTTAAAAATACTTCTGCTTTATTACTGCATATAAATATGCCCTGGCCATAATCTGTAATACTTTTATAAATGACTGCAGGAGATTTCATGCATTGCTAATTCATACATATAAATGTGAAGTTTGCATTAAATATCTCTAAACAAAACCCCACCTTCTTGCTATTTCTAGAAGAAATAGGATAAAGAAAAGAGAACACTCATTACAAAGACTGACCCTCTTGAAATTAAACCTATTTTGTCTTGAGCATCAACCTGTTCCTGGTACCATGGTTAAAAAGAGCTTTATCTGGAAATACTACAATTGATTGGCTTAAAAAATAACATGTTAGAACCAAGGAGAGCAATGATTATAACTGACTGGCAACATTCCAAAGCTGCTTTTTAGTATTCTTTTAAACTCCTTTGGCTACCAGTTCTCATCTCACACCATTGTTAGGTTTATGCCAAATAAATCAGGATACTAATACTACAAAGTGTAGAAAAGACCCAAAGAGCATACTAACCAAATATACTCTAAACCACTAAAATTGTTCAGACCCTGCTTTGTTTGCATATATTAAAATACATGACAGAACCTTCCTGAAGGTGGGACACATTTTATAGCTTGCTTAGAACATATTATAAAATTTAATGACAATGGTTATTTTCTACGCTCTCTCTGTCACCAAGAGGAATTATTAAAAGATAATGTGTATACAGTCTCATAGTTCAATTTTCCATTAAAAGAAAATTAAAAAGAGGCAACAATCAAGTAGACAAATAAATCACTGCAATAAACAATGTTTTAACTGTAATGAAAAAGACAATAGATATTTCTTGAATAGAGATCACTGTAGTGTCATTTCATTAATGAGTAAATTACAGCTTTATAAAGTAAAAATAAAAGCTCTTCTAAAACAGAGGATTATTTTAAAAAACAATAAAAAAACTTCAAATTATTTTAATTACCTTGACAGTCTTATATTTGTACCTCTCCAAGAAACAGTTTATCACAACAAATACTAAAGAAATGTTAAATGGTTGTGTATTTAAGTCTAGAAACCTATGGAAAATGTTGATTTCCCCAGAGATGCTATCATTCTTAGCCACCTAAACAGAATCCAAAATACTATTTAGCAACATGCCTTTTAAATAACTTAGTACCTTTAAACAAGACAGGCCTATACTGATTTAAATTGGAAGTTGAAGTTTAGGAAAAACAAAGTCTACACAATAATCATAAGTCATGTAATACTGTTTGTTTGAGCCAAATATATTTCTATTTAAATAAAAATTAAACAGCACTGGATTAAATACCAACCATTCTTAATCATAATTTAAGTCTGACAACCAAAATCAAAAATTTAATGCCCTACAAAATACATCTCACAAACTAAACAAGACAAAGCTCTAAGCTTTAAACTTTTTGATTGTGTCAATAAAACCTCCAGAAAAGGAGAATACTGCAACTCTCCTTGGAGCAAGGGTGTTTTAAATCATGGTTAAACAGACAGAATGTTAAGAATGGTATGGTTTTTATTTTCTATAGCAGGTTTATTGACACTTTTTTTTCCTAATAAAGTTTGAAAATCTGACACTACCTGTCCACATAGAAGGGGAAACAAAACTTGGTCAAAGTCTGTAGAACTTCCTGTGGAGAGAAAGAGAGATAATTTATACATCTAATGGGACCAATAAATCTAACATTAAGCACAGCACACAATCTAGCAACTTTACCCTGAAGAAAGAGGAGACAGATGAAGAAATATGGGCTTTATCAATTACATGGGAGGAGTACCAGGCAGTCAATCATGAGAAATAATAAACATGATCAAACTTCATTAAAAATGAAAAATTAATCAAGAATCACACATGGGCAAACAGCAGGAGCCATGCAGGAAAGCTCTGAAGGGAGGGAGGCGGTTGGGTTGCTGAGTGTTAACACCCCTCCAGGGACCATCTCCAGCCTGACCATATGGATCAGAGTGAATAACACTGAGCCACATGGGTTTGGCCTGGCAGGGCCGCTGTTGCTGGCACTGTTTTTGCCTGTTACCTAGGAACAGAGGGGGCCAGGATTAGACAAAACTTCCTAACATCAATAGGCTAAATCACAGCAGAATAGAAAAACAACTTGAAGATAATTGTCCCTGAACACCGTCAACTACATTGTTAGAGTTTTAAACTTTTATTTACTTATTTATAAAGAAGTTGCCATCCCTGGCATAAATCAATTTTCGAATCAAACTGTAGCCATTGTAAATAAGCACTACTTTTAGTTAAATCTCATTATTATAACTGGATATACTTACCTGCTTATAATTTATGAAAATCCAAAGCAAACTATCACCTTAACTATCATTCTAACAAATATGGAGGTACATAAAACCAAGTACATTATTCAGGAGGGGCCACAAAAAGTGTATTCACATCTCAAAGACTTATTCATAAAAGACAATCTTCTTACAATAAAACAACAATAAACACTGGCATATGAGATTAATAGACATTCCACATATACAGCATATATCAACAGCGCTGATCACATGTACAAATAATTACTACTTCCTTTATAGAATCTTCTTTAGTTGACTTAATTTAACTGCAGGCTTACATAGCCCATAGTTGGTGCTTATCATAAGTTCATAGACCAATGTCATAAATTTTAAAAGTATTCCTTTCACGTATTTGATTTGCTTTGTAACTATTTAAAATCTCAACTTTTAAGACAAAATGAAGAACACATTTTTCAGTCACTGAGAAGCTGTTTCAAATTAAAACAAATTTGCCCATTGCAGATCCTAATCCAAGTGATAAATTAAAGATCAGTTTACAAATGTACCACTTTTCTAACCAATAATAATGAATTATCAATGCTAACTGAATTGATGCTTCTCGCTTCATTTATTTTTAAAACCAGTTCTATCATTCAAGAAATAAACCACATCAATCTAATAACCCACTCAATGAAGCAGAAAGCACATTGACTTGCTCTGGAGAGCATGTTCCGCCTACATAATTCAATTGAGCATATCCTATTTTTTAATATCATTTGGACCTGTACTATGTATATCACAGCACTGTTAAGGCATGTCACCAAAGAGTAATGAATAGGAAACTAAAAAATGAAAAAGAGTAAGAATATCTCAGCATATTCTCAGAGGCATTACTTATAAATTAATTTATAATGTGACTTTTAGAGGTCCGTATATATATTGTTTTAAAACCAACCGTTTAAATATATTGCAATAGCTAATAAAGAATCAAGAGCAATTTCTCAGGACATAATGTTATTATTAGGCAAGTATTAGAAAAGAGACCATATAAAACATTCATCTTAAAATCTGCAGTTTTAATTAATTATAAAATATACTACAAGCCACATACATCAATTCTTATGACTTCCATGCCTCCCCCACAAAAAAATTCTTTCTATTTCAAGTTTCAAATAACATCATAAAGAATCTATTAACTTCAGAATATGTACCAAGTATTCTTTAAAACTCAGTACTAAGTGTTCACTCATTGCCAATATCAGCTAGAAGGATAGGTATCTTTTACCCCTCAAAAGTTTCAGGTGCAAAAAGCACTTCTCTACTCTATGCTGGAGTCGCGCTGGCAAAAGGCCTCAAAGATTTTTGCAAGAAAGGACCCCCATGGCTACAAGAAAGCATTGTGCTCTGCAGCAGAGTCAAAGGAATCTAATATGCCCAACTTATTACTCCACTACAATATAGAAACTACTTACCACTTTCTAATGTCAAGAGCACTAACCAACCTTGAAGTTGTCTGTCAGATAATGTCAGAACAAACACCAAAATATCCAACATAGGCTGAGTGTAGCTCAACTTCCCACAAGCTTTCCCTTTTACCCAAGAAGGAAGTGGTAAGTCTAATTAAGCACTGGGGCGGGGTAGGGGAAGATAGGCAAATGTATGCACATGTTTGTACATTACAATATGTTTCTTCATGTTTGTGATATTGCAAGAGCTTGATATTCCAACTTAAGTCAAACAAGATGGTAGTGTGCTGTCACAGCAAAACAAAAATGAACATCTACTCGGTGCTAGGCATATTTGCATATGATCTCAATCAGAATTGAATTAAGTTTGGGAAAAGAAGGGCAAGAAGGTGAAGGAGAAAAAAATGTAATGTTCTTTGTAAATAAAAATTGCTAAAATAAACCAAATCTTAATAGTGATGCTTTCTTCGTATACAAATATTCAAGTATTTACCTTCTCTCAGAAATAAAACATAACACAACTCTCCAAGGGAGGGGGCTTCCAAACCCTGACTTAAATTTATTTTGAGCACTTTCGTTATGGCAGTGTCCCAGTCTCTCAATATTAACTTTTCCTGGGGAACAGTCATAACTCCCTTTTTCTCTCTAAACCTGTGACTCTGGCTAGGGAACTTTCTTTGTACATGGAAATTTTCCTGTTCTCTCCCCAACATGAGCTCTTTCAGACAACCAGTCTCAGTACAACTTCAACTACTGCCACATAAATGGGATCTCAGAGATGCAGCACAGCTGATGAAATGTAAATGACCTCATTGCTAAGGCGGGGGGGTGGGGAGGATTTTGTGCCAGCTCTCCAGATCAATTCCCAAGTTTATATTTTCACAAATCTTTTTATGTACAGTTTGATTTTTTAACATTTTAATGAGCAAAAAAGTGAATTTATAGTAGCCAGTCACCACAGTTAAAGTGCAGGGCATGAACTAGATCCCAGGAGGGAACCAGTCCACCATGTCACCACTGGCTTTAGGACATTCGCCACCTGGTTCCATGTCCCCAGGTTCCAACTCTTTTCATAATCAAAACACTGCTGACATTATAAACCCCAGACGGTTTTTTTAAAATCCCTCCCAATCAATATATCCAACACATAACTTATTGGAGACAACACTGAGCTCATTGATTAAGGTGAGTTCAGTAGCAAAGTTTTCAAAATAAATGAGACAAGAATACAGCATCCAACCCCTTTGTGTCACCAGACAATTTATGAAATAGGCAATTTCCAAAAGGGCTTTTCTTCCTAACAAAATATATGATACTTCATGTAGGAGGAAACAGGAGCAGAGGGGGCAGGGAAGCCGTGCTGTGGGGAGACAGTTGTACAAACCTTTCAGTTATGCATATATTAAAATAGCGGATTGCACTGTGTAGCAGAAAAGAAAATATCTACAAAGCTCTGTCCATAAGGAGATCCCAAGCCTCAGAGTAGGAACCAAAATATGAAATTAACACACCTGATGCTGATACGCCAAATGAAATTCAGAAATGAACACAAGGTTCACCTCAGTGTACTCTGGGTTCATTTTATCTCATGCAAATTCTCATCAGTCAAAAAGCCCATCAAAGGAATTTGCTTCAATCTCAAAAAAGTAGATTATGTTCTGGCACTGGGCCATTCTCTTAAAAATCTAGTAAAGTTTTAAATTTATAGTATTATCCATTATAGAATCCTATCTGGAAGCAAAACTTTTAAGACTAAATTTGATCAAGTTAGCTGGGGTTCTTAATCATGAGAAGACTCAACCAATTCACTTTGAATTGGGGTGTATGGTGGGGGATGTAAAGACAATCCTATAACAGCCATCCTTTCAATGTCAAATACTTTGTTTTCCTTCGTTAATTGAAACCTATGAACAAAAATTATGTAGTTTTATTTGGCAGATGAAAACTGACAATCAGATACACAAACACTCTACAAATAAATGCCATCTGAAAGATAAAAGTGCAGGCTTATTATATTGTTCAGTGGAGTTACAGAATGTTGAGAGATAAGACACATACTCAATACTTCAAAGGGGGAAAATGTGGGGGGGGGATATTTAAATAAACAGTGTGAATAAATGAATGTATTTTAAAATATGTAAAGCCACAATTACCCTCTTTGTGGCTTGCCTAAAGGTGATAGAGCAGTTGATAATTTACCTTTGTCCAAGTAAAAAGACTAAAAGCAAGAAAGAGGGGAAGGTGGCGGGAGAAATTCCCTGTGTTTCTTGTATCTAATTTATTTGTTCATTTCAAATTGTAAGTATGTGATAAAAAGATCAATTTGGAGCTCAAATTCCTAAAATACTCTCTACATTTAAAAAAAATTTTAATCGCATGAGGGAAATGCTAACTAAGTCCTGAAACTGAGAGCAATGCCACTAATTTGAAAGAAAAGCTTTTGATTGATGATCTTAAAACTCAAGTTGAAAGTTAAAAAGAGAACACACACAAAATCCAACCACACAGAAAGGTAACAAAATTTCTACTTTAAGCCAATCCAAGTTAAAACTAGGAACTCCAAGAAAAAGCTAAAAAAGGTTTCAAATGTTTCTGATTAAGAAGGGTAAAGCAGAAGTTCCTGGAAGCTTAATTAGCATCAAGTTCAAGAATGTTGATCAGAAGTTTCCTAACTGTGAAAACAGGAAGTAAATTTTTTCTCCTTTGCTATAAGTGTCAAATTAAAACCAAGATCCATGCTATGGTTAAAACCAAACAAAAAAAAAATTTTTTTTTCAGTAAGAAAAAGCTTTGAATAAGGGATTTTACAGAAAGGCCTTTCAACACCAAACATAAAAGCAGGGTCACGTTTCTAACAACGTTGCTCAAATGCTACAGAGTTTGCTTCCTTTCTTCAGTAGAAATATTCA